TCCCGTCCTCACCCGGGGGACACACATTCACCCCGGCATCCCCAGTCCCGTCCTCACCTGGGGGACACACCCCTTCACCCCAGCATCCCCAGTCCCATCCTCACCCGGGGGACACACACCTTCACCCCGGCATCCCCAGTCCCGTCCTCACCCGGGGGACACACACCTTCACCCCAGCATCCCCAGTCCCGTCCTCACCCGGGGGACACACCCCTTTGCCCCGGCATCGTGAGTTTCCGCTCCTCATCCTTCCTGCACATAGTGCATCTCAGGGCTTCCCAGGCCCCGTAAGTTGTAACTCTATTCCTTCCACCTGCTTGGTCCAGGAATGGAGTGATTCTTGCCTCCTCCATTTATGCCTGCGTGGACTCAGCAAGCAAATCCCTCCCGACCCTTGAAGGTGTCCTTCCATCCGATGGTGGCCAGTCTGGACCACGCCACCTCTTGCTGGGTGACTGCAAAGACTGGATGGAAGCCCTGCCTCCTTCCTGACTCGAAGAACAGCAGAGGGTCCCTTCAGAAAGCTCTTGGTATGGGTCAATCCCTGCTCAGGACCCTCAAATCTCATATAACGTAAAAGCCAACTTCCTGAGGCTGCCCACAAGCAACCAGTCCCGCTCCTGCGTTTCCATCCTCACTGCCCTGCACTGGTTTGGAGCCCCCCTCCCCGTGAGCATCAGCTCTGGGCTGTCCTTTCCCCCAGCCTGGGTGAGTGTCCCCAAGGTCCACATGAGTCACCCGCTCACCTGATCTGCAGTCTGGGAGCACCTTCCCCAGTGTGGCTGTGTGGGGGATCTCCGGCAGGCCCTCCTCAGGTGCCTCTGAGCACCGCTCACCGTCCAGAGAGCAGGGGTGTCCTCACTCACTGTCCTCTCCCCCTCTAAAACCCAATCTCCACAGAACCAGAGAGTTGTGTCTCCTTTGCTCACTCATTTCCTCAGCATAATAATTTCACAAAGTAGGAAGCCAGGAGAGGTGGCTCACGCCTGTAATCCCAGCACTTTGGGAGGCCGAGGTGGGCGGATCACCCGAGGTCAGGAGTTCAAGACCCGCCTGGTCAACATAGTGAAACCCCATCTGTACTAAAAATACAAAAATTAGCCAGGTGTGGTGGTGCATGCCTATAATCCCAGCTACTCAGGAGGCTGAGGCAGGAGAATTGCTTGAACCTGGGAGGCGGAGGCTGCAGTAAGCCGAGATCACGCCACTGCACTCCAGCCTGGACAACAGAGAAAGATTCTGTCTCAAAAAAAATTTCAGAAAGTAGGTATTTGTTGGTTAATCAGATAAACAGTAATGGTGCAGCCCCTGGTCAGGCGCCAAATCCGGTTTCCTGTCCTGCCTCTTCACCCAGCCCCGTCGGCATCTCTGCGTCTCAGTTTTCTCGTAAGGAAAATGGGATAACATCTTGGATTTCGTGTGAGGCGTAAGTGGGCGAGCACAGGTAAATCCCACAGGATGAGCGGACAGGCGGCACTCGAGGTCCCCAGGGCATTCCCTAACGTTTCATTTAAGCGGGTGCTTGCACACGCCACACGCCGCCCTTTTCGCCTCCAGCGCCCATTTGAAACCAGCCACAGCCTCCAAGGCGATGTCACCATCCTTCTCACCCAATGTCGGGGCCGTCAGACCCCAGAGGCACCACTTTAGAAAATTCAAAAGCATCTCATAGCCGGGGCTCCCGCAGAGGGCCTAAAACCTACCCTAGGCTGGGATTTTACTGCAGAAGCAATGCCTCGAATAAGTAGTCATTCACTCCCTATGTCACAGGATCCTAGACTGAAACCTGAAAAGGTGTGAGGGCCATGGAGGGACCTCCCCACATCCGCCACACTCAGACACCTGCCTGTGGCCCCCTGGGTGACTCACCTGGCCTTTGGCAAAGCCGTCAAAACCATCGTAGATGGCAAGCATCCTGTGGCCATCGGCGATGCCCACACGCACAGCTGAGCGCACGGCAGCATTCATCCCAGCCGCGGGTGCCCCCACGTTGATGACAGCCACGTTGCAATTGGTCTGCAAGACAGAAGGTGGGCAGGAGCTGGTCACGGGCACACGCGAGCTCCATTTGCTGCACACCTTGGCAGTGGTCCATGCTGTGCCAGGCCAGAAAACAGGTGGCCCTCATTCAGAGAGGCAGAGGCCATGAGGGGAGTCCCACGGGAGAGGTCGGGGAGCAGAAGAAAGGCCGGGGCATCGCGGGAGGCCGGCCGCCTACCTTTGGGATCTGATCATCCGGCAGCTTGATGGCAAGTCGCTTGTAGGTGTTCAGGTTGCCCGCAAAGCTCCTAGAGGAGGAGGAGGTGGTCAGATCAGAGTCGGGTACATTGGACAGTCGGGTACATGGGGCTCGTGTGAGAAAAGGCGGCTTCTCCACCAGCACTCCGTGTGTCTGCCAGCTATCTGGGTAGGAGGCGGCGGCCCAGGACTCCACACGCACTGCAGAGCCCCTGACTGGGACCCACAGTGCCGTCCACGTCTCGTGTGGAAACGGAGTAAGGGAAAAGGGCACGCTTCTACACTTCGTCATGTTCTCTTGCAAAACATGGGCCACGGCCGGGTGCAGTGGCTCAGGCCTAGAATCCCAGCATTTTGGGAGGCTGAGGTGGGTGGATCACTTGAGGTCAGGAGTTTGAGACCAGCCTGGCCAACATGGTGAAGCACTGTCTCTACTAAAAATACAAAAATTAGCCAGGCACGATAGATCGCTTGGACCTGGGAGGCGGAGGTTGCAGTGAGCTGAGATTATGCCACTGCACTCCATCCTCGGCAACAGGAAACTCTCTTAGAAAAACAAACAAACAAACAAACAAACGTGGGCTACGGGTCACATTGTGCCTTACTCTCATTGGCTCCTAAACAACCCCTACCTTGCCGGAAAGGACCAATGGCAAATTCAGAAAATGACTTCCCTCTAACCAGTCGCCAGGCCTGCTATGGCAAAAGTGGTGCTGTGAGTGCCATCCGACCTTCTGAGTGTTCACGTTCACGCGGAACGAGCACAACCCCAAGCACATCTGCGGTGGCCAGGCCTGAGGGCGCATGCTCCTGACAGAGCAGAGCTCTCTCCAAAGCACTCACTTCCCCCGGAGTCGAACCGCGTCCTGAAACCTCCTCTCATCCATCGCCTTCTGCACGTCCTGAGTCTTTAAACAATAATGAAAAGAAGAAAGAATGTGTCAGGACCTGGTACACTGGATGAGGTGGGTGGAGGCTTGCTGGGTCCTTCCCGCCGGCCGCCTCCAGTCTGAGCCAGGCAGCCAGCAGCCCCAGGGTTAATGGTCTAGACCACCAGCCGCCCGGTGTGTCCTGATGCTGGTTGGCAGCTGGCCCCTCACTGCCCAGCTGTGAGGTCGCAGCCCCGGGGTCTGCCTAGCTCAGGAGGCTTCTGAGATAAAAAGAGGAGACATCACCTGCTGTCTGTGGACATAAGATTGTGAGGATTTTACTCTATGAGAACAAAGCCAGAGGAAATGAAATCTCTCAGGCATGGTTCTGAGGAATCCTTGATTTGATTATGGTGGGGAAAACCAAAACAAAACACACCAGCTCATTGGGGGATGTGGACAGGAGGGAGGTCACAGTGGGCGGGGTCCGAGAGTCCCAGATGCCCTGGGACACACGGCTGGGACTGACACACACCGGGCAACCCCGGGCAACGTCAGGATCTCAGGCAAATTCTTTCTTACTCTGAACTTCAATTTCCTCATCTGTGAGATGAGAAAAACACCCCTACTTCCAGCGATGTCTAAGGTTACTCAAACATGTCAGACCCTTAGGAAGACACCTGACAAACAGCAGGTGCACAGTAGTGGCTTCCTCGGCTTTGACAACAAAGCCACATAAGGGTGGTTTCAAGGTCAGGGCAAGTTTCGACTACAGCGACCCTCTCTAGACAAGCAGACAAGAGACACAGGCTCAAAATACGCGTACTGCATGTAGTTCAGCGCTCTGAGCCTTTGAAGCCTACTGCCTCTCACATGCACACAGACACATACTAACATGCAGACACATACTACCTCATACATGCACACATGCATATATACCCACACACTAACATGCAGACACACAATGCCTCACATACACACACATGCAAGATACACATACATGTACAAACAGGCAGACACTACCGCACACACATGCATACATGCTATGAATATACATCCACACACTGATATGGAGACACACAATGCCTCACACAAACATGCAGATAAAGATAAATGCACAAACACGCAGACACATGACCTCACAAACATGAACATGCATGTAGATAAACATACATGCACACATACTCTAACATGCAGAGACATTACCTGACACAAACATGCATACCATGCATATAAACATACATACATGCTAACATTCAGACACATACTACCTCACACAAAATGCTCAGGCATGCATATAAACATACATGCACACTAATACTAACATGCAGGCACAATGCCTTAAACACTCACAAACATGCACATGCATGCAAAACATACATGCACACATACTAATATGCACAGACTTCCTCACAAACATGCACACACATGCATGTAAACACACATACACACACTACCTCACATAAACATGCTTACAATACATATAAACACACAGGCACACACACTAACATGCAGACACTATACCTCACACACACGCACACATGTGAAACATACATGCACACACATAGTAACATACAGACACTACCTTACAAACATGCATATACATGCATATAAACATACATACACATAAACATGCAGACATACTACCTCAAACATGCATACCCATGTATATAAACATAAATGCATACACTAACATGTAGACACAATACCTCACACTCACAAAAATGCATACCAATGTATATTAACATACGTGCACACACATGCAGACATACCTCCACAAACATGCACACATGCACATAAACATGTACACATAAACGTGTGTACATGCATTTACAGACACGTGCACACACATCTACATACATACACACAGAGACACAAGGCCTCACACATTCATACACATACAAATACTATCTTCTCCCTTGGCCTTTTGGAAATTATGTTTCCAAGGTGACTTTCAACAAGCCCCTTGACTGAATTGCTTCCTGGCCTCTGTGCTGTGATCAGAGGCATTCACTTCACCTCGGGGGTCACTGGAAAGACCCAGCAAAGCAGGAATCAGGAATGAACTGTGAAAAATAAAACAACTTTGAATGCAGCTGACCCCACGGTCGCCTGCACTGCTGAACCATGACTGGAAGACCAGGACTGGCTCTTCCTTGCTTCATTTGCCAGCAGGCCATTCCCTGGCCTGAAAAGGGTGGGTGCATCTCTGGGTGACCAGAAGCCATCCCCGTGTCCCACCACAGACCTGAACATCCTTGGGGACAGGAGGACAGGAAGTGGCTGAATCTGGAGAGGTTTGGGAAGGTCCCACCTTCCTCTAGGACATGCTGCCCCACGGCTCTCTCCTGTGGCCACCTCCCCACCCGTGGTCCTCCTGTAGCGCCTGGTTGCACCAGGGTCACCTGGATCCTCCTGGACTGCCGAGGATCCTGGCACTCTGAGCCCCTCATGGGAGGTTATGACTACATGCCACACGGACAATAACTCAGAAAACCAGAGAGCGAAGACGGCTCAGGCTGTCCAAGCATGGGTGGGAACACCAGCCTGCTCCTGCCCCACGGGCAGCTCACCCCCTTCTCAGAAGGGCCGTGTAACCCAGAGCTCACCGAGTAAGCAGTGGACCAGACACCCGAGATGCCCCGCCTGGCCTGACAAGCAGTGTCCGTCCCCAGCCGCCCACCCCCGCCCTTGGCCATGGGCCGCCCACTCACCATCTGCACGCACTCCATCAGCGGCAGGCGCACAGCGTGGTTCCCGCTCAGAGACACGACACAAGCTGGAGTGTCGGGGGTGGCCTCCAGCAGGGCGATGACCGCCTCCACTCCCATGCGGCTGGCCTGGAAACCAGGTCCCCGTGGGTCAGGAGTGGCCTCCGCCCTGCCCCGTCCCTGCTGCCTCCTGCCCTCTTTCCATGACCTCCAACCCTTTCGTTTGGGTGCCCACAGCCCTCCCCACTTCCAGTCCAACTCTTTAGAAAAGCAGTTTCCATTCCTTTAGAATTGGCAAGACGGGAGCAGAGGGGAGGTCAGGGCCAGATGGAGACAGCAGGAGTGTGGAGAGCTGACGGGTTACACTTGGGTTTCCTGCTTCCCTGAGTCGGCTTCCAGAATCCCACACTGGGAACAGTTTCTGCCCTGGGGTTGTGCCCTCCCACATTAGGGAGCTCTCCCGGCATCTGAATGGCTGCAGTCCTAGAGACTGGCCTCCCCCCACAAAGGTCTCAAGGATCGTTAGGACGAGGCCCGGGCCGCTGGCATCTCCGGGGAGCATCTCGCCACGGCGCTCGTGCCTCTCCGAAACCCTCCCGCCTAGAGACCTTGTGAACGTGCCCAACCCTTCCACCCTCACCAAGATCCTGTCGAATGCCGAAGGGGTCCCTCCTCTCTGCACGTGCCCGAGGATGGTCACGCGTGTGTCGTAGCCCAGCTGCGTGACGACGAGCTGCAAGGAAATGTGTCGTTAGGACGCAGAACCGCGACGCGAACACAGCAGCCCAGACCTGGAAGCAGGTACCAGTCACTGAAAAAGGGTTTGTGCTCTTTCTTCACCTCTAAGTGGGAAAAAGCATTTCTAGATTTGTTTCCTAGCAGAACATTTAGTATAACAGGCAGCTGAAGCTTGTTTTTATAAATACTTTTGTTACCAAAATCTTTGCTTGCACCCAGAAAATGAATACAAGTAACATGTTCGTTGTTTAAAAAGAAGCGTCAGTAGTTTGCATTTAAACTATCACTTCTATTTTACAAAAATGTCAACCTCTTCCTTTAACCACCTTAAACGTGTTCAGCTGTGATTTCAACAGCCACCCAGTACAATCAAGGTGCTCCCCTCATCCCAGCCAATGGGCACGCCACCCCGGGGACCAGACAGGCCCCTGAATGTCTCTGAACTCAGCCTATTCCTCTTAAGAACAGTGGGGCTGGGCTATGTGAATTCCATGGTTCCTTCTTGGTCCAGTGTTCTATAATTTAATCACAATTAAGTGGGAAATGAAATCTTTGCCTTGACTTTATGAATTACTTTTTTTTTTTTTTTTTTTGAGACCCGTCTCACTTTGTCGACAGGCTGGAGTGCAGTGACACCATCTCGGCTCACTGCAGCCTCCACCTCCTTGGTTCAAGCGATTCTCCTGCCTCAGCCTCCTGAGTAGCTGGGACTACAGGCATGTGCCACCATGCCCAGCTAATTTTGTATTTTTAGTGGAGACGAGGTTTCACCATGTTGGTCAGGCTGGTCTCAAATTCCTGACCTTGTGATCCGCCCCACTAAGCCTCCCAAAGTGCTGGGATTACAGGCGTGAGCCACTGCGCCCGGCCTATGGATCACTTCTTGTAAATATTGGCAGATGTCTTTCCCAGGTGCCTGTCACTGTTTTCACATCCAGCACTTGTGTGGCTCCTTAACTCATGGTAACAAAGCACAATAAAGAAGCCGACTTGCAAAGCCAGGTGGGGATGTCCTCTCCCCGCAGCCATGGGAGCCAGAGCCCATCCCCAGTCCCCGGAGCCTGCAGCCCCATCTACGGCAGGAGCCCAGCAGATGGCATCAGCATCCTCTCCAGACGGGCGGGTCCAGCCTGAGCAAGCCCCAGGACATGGAGCCTGCCTGAGCCCATCCCCTGGCAGGCTGTGAGGACACAGCAGCTTTGTGAGTAAGAATGCGCTCAGCTGATGCTCTGGGTTACGGGAGGGCATACGGAAGAGGAAGATGCCAGCTTTCCACTGCAGCAAACAGAAGCCTGGGGCGGCTGCCAAGCGCTCGGTCCTCATTCTCAGAGCAGCTCATGTCTAGGAGCTGGAACATTCTAATCCAAAGAGCACGCGTAGCCACTTGAGCGACCGCCTATGTCTGCTGGGGAGTCCCGGAACCTCCAGGGGCACAAGAAGAGGGGACGCAAGCGGAACGGGCTCCCAGGAGCAGGCACTGTGTTTCCCATGCTGTCCTGTTCTGAGTCATTATGAAAATGTTTTCAAATATCAGGATAAAAAGCTAATAATTCGGTGTTCTAAACCAAGACTGCCAATGACGCTGACCGCCCCAGCTTCCAGGCAGAAACCGAGGGAGAGCAAGCAGCTCCACGCACTCACCTCTTTGATTTTCTCAGAGGTAATGGGTTTATTTTGGGTGTCAATTGCTCCTTCAGCCACAATAATAATATTCAGCCTTTTTTTCCGGGCACGGTTCTGCAGAAACAGAAAATTAAAGACCTCAAATTCCTAATCCTGTTCTTAGCAACAGTGGCAACAAAACCACAGCAGTCTGTCTCAAACGGAACTGGCCTTTCCCAGGCTGGAATCTTCGCCAAACGTCCTAAGAATTGCTTCCCAATGACACCGGAAGGTGGCGAGAGGTGCTCTGGGTGGCAGCAGGGAGGGACAGGGGTGAAGAGAGGCGCAGGGGTGCAGGGGAGGGGCAGGGCAGCTGCGGCTCACTGGAGGAGAGTTCTTTGGAACTGGGTGGCTCACATCACCACCAGATAGAACTGTGGCCCCCAGTCAGCCCTGGGGGAGGGTACTCGTGTGATGGATGGGGTCCCCACAGGGAGGGGCACAGAGGTGGACCCCCCCCCC